GGATCCAGCCCTTTACCGGCTGCAGCCTGCAGACATCACTAGCATGCAACAACCTCCCCCACCTCAGCAGGAGCCAGGACCCCCCAGGAGCCAGATGGGAACTGCCCAACATCTGCTGAGTGCATTGGCCTGGGGGAAGGACACAGGGGCCCACCCCTACTTGAGATGCCCTCACCTCTCGGCTCCGGGGCAGCTCCACGTGCTCCATGAGGGAGTAGGTGAAGTGAGGCTCGTAAATCATGAGGTCGGGGCGCTCGATGTCCAGGATGGCCTTGTCCTTGGGGATGGCTGCCAGGTCCTTGTAGCCTAGCACCTCATTATCCATTCTGGCCTGCAAAGACGGACAGGCTCCTTCTCAGCCTAGGAAGCCTTGAGCAGGTGTCTGAGCCTCTCGCAAGAGCCCCCGGTCCCTTCCTGCAGGGAACTGAACCCTCACAGCCTGCGGGGAAGTGGGGAAGCCAGTGCCCTCCTTCACTCTGCAAGGGGCAGTGACTTGCTCCAGGTCTGTGGTAGAGCCACGAATGGAAGCCAGGGGGCCGCAGACTCCCTCGCAAGCCGCTACACCGTACTGGCAAAGTGGGGAGAGACAGAGGGGGCTACACGTACCACGATGCTGGAGGGTGATCCTGGGACGCTGGACCCACGGGAGGAGCAGACGCTCCCCGGGGAGGTCAAGGGTTGCTGGAAAGAAGGAGGAGGCATGTGTGAATGCCACCTGCTCAAGCAGCATGGCCAGTAGAGCTGAAGGTGCCAGGAGGAGGGAAGAGGAAGCCCAGCAATGACACCCCCCAGCAAGGTGCATGCAGGACAGCAATGCCAGGGGAAGCAGCTCTCTGCCAGGCCTTGCTGCAGCCACATCCCCACCCTGAATGGTAGTAGGGAGGGAAGCCCTGGGCATCAGGGCACAAGGCAGCTTGGTCTGCTGGTGGCAGGGAGAGCCTTGGAAGTGGTCATATCCCCGCTGGGCCCTGCTCTGATCCTGGCTGGGCTCCAGGCACACAGGGAGGGAGGGGGAAGCATTGCAGGCAACTCCCCTCCAGCACTAATCTTGTTCCATTAGATACCAAGCCTCAGGGTCAAGCCACACGGGTCCAAAGGGCCCACAGCGCTCTGCCCCACTCCCAGCAAGGTGAGGTGTCCAGAAGGAGCAATGCTGAGCCCAGCTGCTCAGCAGCTGTGTCCCTGCTTGCTGCAGTAACCACTAGGTGGTGCTGCCTGCCCAGACTCCAGCATGCCAGGCAGGGATGCCCAGGGCAGAGGGAGCTGCACAGCCCAGTGGCCTTGCAAAAGGGAGAGCCAAGGAGCCAGCTCTGCTAGGGCCAGCCTGCCCAGCCCTGCCCCTCCGCCAATGCTGCCGAAGGCAGGGGGAGCACCCCCTCCGAGACAACACAACAGAGTGGGCAGTGCCAGCTCCTGCCCTCTGCCCTGCCTGGACCCACTGGTGCCAGCACTGTGCTGCACACACCTGGCATCTACCAGTTGATGGTCCCAGGCCACTACTCCGTGCTGGGCTGGGCTTGCAATGAGGGGTGAGAGGCTCTTGCACCCAATGGCTGGACTCTCCAGCCCCTCCTTGCCCCTGCCCCTGCTCTCAAAGTGGGGGGCCTGGGGCAGGAGCACCTGTGGCAGCCCCTTTACCTTCTGTAGCCTTTCCATTCAGCTGGCTGCTGGAAGGCCGGGGTCATTCACAGCGTCCTGCGGGGGAGAAGGCACCTGTGTTAGCCCCAATCAGCCCCAGGTGGACGCATGGAGCTGCCAGTGCCTGGCCCCTGGAAATGAACCAGGCTCTGGCCTGAGCAGCATATGGGCTGGGGGCTGGAGGGTAAAGGGGTGCTGGGATTGCAGGCTCCATGAGATCCTCTCCAGCATCCCAAGCCCCATGGACCGGCCCCAGAAAGGAGGGTGAAGAAGTCTCCACTGCCAAGTGTTTCTGCCTCCCAGGACTTTGCTCTCAGGCCAGGCTGCCTGCACTCAGGAGCCTGACACCAATGTGAAGCAAGGCATGCATGGCGGGTCTGAAATATTCATCACCAGGCTCAGCGGGGGGCTGCAGGGACAAGCTGAGGGGGGCTGGAGTCTGGTGAAGCTTGGCCAAGTGGGAGGGACTGCAGAGCTGAGACCCAGCTGGCTCTCAGCTGGGCCCTTGTTCCCTCCACCTGGGGGCTGGAGAAGTGGTTGGCCCTGGGGCAGGAGGGGGCCAGGGGTCGTGGCCTGGCCAGGGGCTCACGTACCAGCAGTTCTGTGTCTCCACATCCCTTTGGACTCTTATGCCAGGCTGTGGGTCACGGGCTCCCTCTGCAATGGGGACAGAGAGGGGGAGAAGTGAGATCCCAGGCATGGCCTGCATCTGTCCAGCCAGGGCAGGGTCACAGGCCGAGAGGGGTCCTGGCATCCACCCAGCATGTGTCCAGCCCAGTCTGGCGCTCACGCGGGTGGCTGCAGTCCCAGCTTGCTGCAGCTTTGCTGCTTGGGCGGGGAGGCCAGTGGGCAGTGCCCAATCTCAGCCAGCCCCGGTTCCTGGCCTGGAAGAAACCTTCCCCCACCACCTTGTGAATCTTTCCATGCACTGAGCAGAGGGAGGGCTGCACTTGTTTTGAGCCATTGTTCTCAGCACAATGGGAAGTGACAGAGAGCTTGGACGCCTCCCAGGCTGTCTGCAATGACACACACCAGCCAGCTCTCCCCCTATCCTGCCCTCCCTGCCTCACACCATACAAGCCAAGAGTTTTCCAGGAAGTCTCTGGAGCGGTGCATGGATGGCGGGGGCGCAGCTCTGCTTGCACCCCCAGCTAACGCTAGGGCAGATGGTACTACACCACGGCAAGGGAGAGCACAGGCATCCTCGCTGGCTTGCTCTACATGCAAGGGCAGGGACAGACAGGGTGAGGCGGATGCAAGGATAGCTGTGCCAAAGGCCACCTTGCTGTTATCTCCACTCCCCTGCCTCTGGTGCCGACAGGACTAGACCCTTTTCTCTACCTTCCCACCCAGAGTTACGGCTGCAAGACCTCTCGGGGTCACTGCCAAGCAGAGACAGGCAGGAACTGGGCTCACGGGGCCAGGGCTGCAGGTCTGATGTGTGTTACCTGAGGCTTGGTGCTGAGAAGAGGGTCAGGCAGCCTGGCCTCGGGTCCAAGCCACAGGTCTGGCAAGCCCCTGCACTATATGCATGCCTCTCGCATGGGGAGGCGACATGTGACAGAGCTGCACGGCTGTCCCGCTCCCTGCCAGCGCCTTATCAGATCCACAAGTGGCGTCTCCAAGTGCTGGAGCCCCATGCCCTCCCCACCCCCCTGCACAAACCGCACTCAGATCCGAGAGCTGCAACCCAACCCTCGTCCTTCAGATGCACTTGCCTGCCAGAGGCACCTCCGATCGATATCCCCCCGACCCCAGGCCCAGAGCGGGCGTCCTGGCTGCCTTTGTGACCTGTTATCGGCTGCAGGATGGGGACAAGAGAGACTGTTCCCGAGCAAGCTTGGTGTGTGTGTCAGGATGGGGGGTACTGGTTTGCACGTCATCACTGTTCAGCTGCGAGAGGCTGCTGGCCTGTTCGAGTTTCAAAGAGGAAGGAGGTGGCTCATCCTGTGTCCTCAGCTCATGGCATCCAGCACCTGCAAGCCAGAGACCTCGTGTGCTCCAGCATTGCTGGGGTTCACTTGTTTCTGCCTTCAAGGCTCTTGAGATGGGGCAAGGGGAGCTTTGCCTTAGCAGGGAAGTGGTGCCACTGGGCAGGTATGGCTGCCTCCTCTCCTCTCCATCCAGGAGCAAGGCTTGCTCTGAACCTTCCTGCTCCAGCTTCCTTCTCCCTGTACAGGGCTGCCCTGCAGCGTGGCTGCCAGCCCTGTGTCTCTGGATAGGATGTCCCAGAGACAGCCCTGCTCCTTAGGATGCATGGAAAGAGCCCCATGTCCCCCAGCACTCACTCCTGCCAGCACCTCTGCAGGCTCAGAGAAGATCCAGACCTGTCTTTGGCCAGTGGTACTCTGGGTGCCCTGCTGTGGGCAAGGGGTGATAACAGCATGCCAGGTCCAACTATCCTCCTTCAAGCCTTGGGAGCCAGCAGACGGATGGCTATCCTTTTCTACACATGCCCAAGGTGGCAGCACAGGCCTGGCTCAGCAGGGCTCAGCTAAGGGCCAAGGTCCTGATGGGCCATGGTATGTCCTGTGTCATGCAACTTTGGGTCCCTCGCTACTCCTAGTGCCTTATTGCAGGTCTTGTTGCCTGCCTCCCTCCCAGGACAGGGCTGTGACCTGCGGTTCAAGAGGGCTGGTGAAGTGCACAGCAGACCTCGGCGGAAGGCGGCAGGAAGGGCAAAGGTCCGCTCTGTCCGGCAGTGAAAGCCTCTTTCTCTGTGCGCGAAGGATGCTGGAGAATGATGCATTGTCAGGCTGAGCATCCGACCAGACCGGTGTCCATGAGCTCAGACTTTCCAGGGGCCCTGCTGCTGGCAAAGCCAGGGCTGGATTCCCAGGCTCTCGGGGAATGGCTCTGCAGAGGCTGGGATTTGCCTGGAGCAGATTAGCAGAGCCCTCCGGGCTGGCCGGTGGTGACGGGAAGCAAGGCTCTCGTGGCTGCTGACGGGAGCCACAAGTGGTCTGGGCATAGGGCTGCTAAGCACAGCTCCTGGGTGGGGGCCCAGTCCATTTTACTGCTCTACTGGTCTGGGTGCCTGGGGCCAAGAAATCCAGGCTTCCCCCAGTGCCTGTGACAAACCCATTTCACACCCTACCCTGCACCCAGCACAAGACTCAGCATTAATTCCTCAAAGCTAAGGACAAGAGAGAGCACCAGCTGCCTGCCTCCTCTCTGCTCCGACTCCTCTCTCAATGCAGGGCCCAGCCCAAGGCTGAATGCAGCGGGCTCTGAATGGGGTTCATTGCCTCAAGAATCAGAGAAAAACCTTCATCCTCAAACTTTTCCTCCACAAGCCCTTCCCACTCCTTCACACAGCCCTACCACATGAGCCCCATTTGCCTGCACTGGGCTGTCAGGCTGAAGCCAAGCAGCTGCTCAGGCCTCCCGGTAGAGCGACAAGTGGATATTTTTAGATGATAATCACTTTACTGAACATAATCACATCATGGGAAATTGCTCCATCCCTAGTAGCCCCCAGGACCTGTGGCTGTCGGCTCCCACACCCTTTACCCAGGGCTCCCGCCCTGCTCCCCAGGACAGCAGGGCAAGCTGGAGGAGAATGATAGGTTTGCAAGAGCAGTGTCTCTGCCCCAGGCCTCTGGAGCCATGTGTGCGCCAGCTTAAATGAGGTGGATCAATACGGGGCAGGGCTGGGCTCAGTGGGAACCGGGGGAGTCTGCAGACCCACTGGGCTGGAGCCTAAATGATCACAACCGATACAGATGAACAGACAGATGGATGGGCAGAGGGGAGAAGACAGACAGCAAGGCAGACAAAGAATGGGATGAGCACCTGGATAAGAAGATAGAGATGGGGAGAGGGAATGAGAGAGGAGAAAAGCAGAGAACTGATAGAGACAGAGAGATAGGTGTTATGGAGTGAAGAAAAGGAGCAGAGGGGCAGAGAAGGGGAGGGCTGTCCCTAGCCCCTGCCCCTTGTCATGCAGTCAGGCTTATGGCTGTTTGCCGTGCACTTCTGCACTATCAGGAGCAGACAGATGTGCCGCTGCCCAAATCAGCAGCTGGACTCTCCACGGCAACCTCCAATCTCCCAGGGCCAGTGATTCTAGCAGCCCAAGCCCTTTTTGGCAGGCAGCGTTCCCTGTGCAGGGCTCTGAGACCACGCGACCAGGTGCTGGCTGCTGGCACCAGAGATAAGGCCGGGTCCTGCATGTTTAGGATTCTTATTGCAGGGCCCGGGGTTCACGTGTGCTAGGAGCCATGCCGGTTCCACCCTGCACCAAGACTGGCTGCAAACAAGGCCCAGGCGAAAGCCAGCTGGGTCTCGGTGGAGCTGCCTAGGGCCCTGAGTGCTGGGGCTGACCTGGGCACCATGCCAAGGTGTGATGCTGATGGATTTAACAGAGCTCCAATGAAGTCCAAGGGGAGGGGGCTGGGAGCAGGAACCCAAACCTAAAATGATGGACAACCTGCCATGGAGCCCACGCCTACCCTGCCCTTGCCCACCTTGCGCTCCCTGCTCCCCCCAGACCCTTCTGCAGCAGAGAGAAGCTGCCGGGGATGCCAGGTCTTCTGCACAAAGAAGGCTGGCTGCCCTGTCTCCTGCCTTTCCCCAGGGCTGGGCCGAGTTCACCAGGAGGGAGCAGAGTGCATGGCCCCAGCTGGACCAAGCAGGAGAGAAGGGAGATCTCTCCTCCTCCTACCCAGCCCCAGGGCATTAGACCAGCCCCAGCCCTGGGGCCTCTCAGCAGCTTGGGAGCCCATTGAGCTTTGTGCCTGGCTGGGAGCTTGTCCAAGTGATCAGGGCTCATAGTCTTACCTCCATGGACTCCTTATAGCTAAGAACAAGCCAAGCAGCCAGAAAGCACCAGCTGCCTGCCCTCCCTCTGCACAGAGTCCAGCCCGAGGTCTCTGCCCCCTGCTCAAAGCCTGTCTGGGGTCTATCCCGGAGGGGCCACCTCTGCCTCTACCCTGCCAGAGGAGAGGCACTCTACCCACACAGGGACAGTCTGTGACTAGAGCAGGACACAGACTGTAGCACTCACTGCCACAGGACAGGAGACAAGAGACAAAAAACCCTCCTCTTTGAGCTTTTCATTCATAAACTCTTTCTGCCACTCCACAGAGCCACACCACAGAGCAAAAAATGCCAGGCAAACACAAACACAGGAGGGCATAGAGATCAGATGCATATACAGAGGCACGCCTGGTTCAAACATAAAGGAATCGGACGCATGGTAGAGGTGATATCTTTTATTAGACCAGCTAGGTTTTTGCAAAAAAAATCCTTTAATTGCAAGCTTTCAGGCACAAACACCCTTCTTCAGACCTAGGAGAAAACTAAAGAAAATTTTTTTTGCAAAAATCTAGTTGGTCTAATAAAACATCATCTCTACCACAAGTCCTGATTCCTTTGGCTTCTAGACCAATACGGCTACAACCTGGATACCCAATTCAAACATACCCACCCTCCTCATATCAGGGGCTTGGGCTGCTGGGGAAAGTGCTGCCCTGGTTCTGCTGCCCAGCCCTGAGGCAGGGGCTGGCATGGAGGATGCTTCATGCACATACTGGCCTGTGGGATAAAGGGCAGGATTAGAGAGCAGCACAGCACAGAGCCTTTCAGAGCACAGTGCCAGGGGTGGAGAGCCAGTGTGGGGGGTGGGAGGTCCGTGCGGACAGTGGGGCTGGCAT